CCATAGTGATACTGCCTCGGAAACCCAAGGAGGGGTCGCTATGAGTCGGGTCCGACTCGACGGCACATAACAACAACAACAACAAGGGATAAGTGTGACACCGTTAAAAGGAACAATTTATGAAAAATGGGAATTCTAAAGCAAGAAAAGAGAAAGGCTCAGAAGGAATCTTTGAACAAATAATCCAGTATAACAAAGTATCACATAAATCCCTAAAAACAAACCCATTACTATTGCATTAGTTCCAACCCAAAGCAACCCTATAGCACAGAGAAGAACTAGAAGCAGACTGCCACATCTTTCTCCTGTGGGGCCTCTGGTGAGTCAAAATTGCTGACCTTTTGATTAGCTGCAAAGCACTTAACTACCATGTCACTAGGGCTTCCATCACATCTAGTGCTTGGCTGCTAACTGAAAGTTGGCAGTTCACACCCACCGGCCACTTTGTAGGAGAAAGATGTGGCAGTCTGCTTCCATAAAGATCACAGGGCACTTCTATCTGTTTTTAGGGTGGTTTGGGTTCGGGTTTCACATAAAAGGAGACCCCAATAAAATATATAACCATATATAATCTCTAAATAAGGACAATTATAAAGTCATATTTACACTTAACATGATATACTAATACGTGTACAACCGAAACCCTATTTACATTTCATAGTTCATAACAGAAGGAAACAAAAATATTTCATGCACATATACAATGAAGAAATATAACCATCACAGTCCTCTTTTCTGCAACTGATCACGTGGCCATAACTGATATTCAGAAATACCTTCTTCCACCACCCATTCCGTATTTTCCTTGCCGTCAGCAAGCACCTCAGCTGGTCGTGGTTCTTTGCCTGGTGGGGTGACCCAAACCTTCATTCCTGAAGGGTCTGGGCCACTAGTAGTCATAAAAATTGGGTTGCTGTAATTTTCCATTGACTTTAATCACAGGACATGGTAGTACTAAGAGATGTCCTAAAGAATCTCCTGTATTCCAGACATATTCTTCTTTACCTCCATAATGTAATGTCAATCCAATTTCCCCTTGGTAATCAGGATCTATCATACGAGATAGTACAGTAATGCCCTTCTTTGTCTGTTGATCCAGAGGCATGAGGAAGCCAAAATGGCTGGGTGGCATTCTTAACTTACAGTTCAATGCAATCAGTATTGTGTCTCCAGGTGGGAATCTTCCTCCCTTTGGGATAAAGATCTCCAGACCTGCAGAGCATAGGGTAGCAGGGACAGGAAGCAAAAATTTTTTGAGTGGGTCACTAGGGGTAATAGTGAGTGGTACCACTCCTGTTTCCAC